GAAAAATGTTTATATTACAAAAAAAAAAAAAAAAAAAATCGTATTTTTATTCGCTACATCGTTCATTCGCACCCACAACTTTCAATAAACTTAATCTTACTAGTCGAGACTTGTTGCGTCTAACCTGGTAACGGGTTAACTTGTTGCTCATTCGCAAACATTCGATAGTGATTTTTTGCGTGACACTTTTGCGGCAACATAGCTTTGAAGTACGATACAGTTTACCGTTTAAACTCAAACTTTCCAAATGTAAAACGTTCAAATATTCCAATGTAATGTTATTAAGAGTTACTCTAACGGTCGAGTCATTAAACGTTGAGAATTGAAATGAAAATAAATTCAACTAGTTGAACGAAGAAGATAAGCCACGTTTTTAATGATAAAAGAGAGGTACTCCGTCTCGATGACTATGTATCGCCTCGCGTTACCGACGAAAAATCGATTTTTCGCCTCTTCCGAAGGTATCCCGACGAATCCCTGTTACACGACCCTATAAATTCACGAAATTTCAAACGGTCTCGTGAATGTTGCGAACGCCGGCCCTTTAAAAGCATATTAAATACGTGCTCCGGTATCGGGATCGCGCGCATTGAAACACGTATCGGCACGTGTCCGGATTATAATATAGTAACAACGATTCTACTTCCGTTCCAGAACACACCTGGCATTTTCTTTCCGGCTAGTTGAGTCTGCGCGAAATCCCATAACACTCGTCTAACGAACTAGTCGGAGAGGCTTTTGACGATGCCTATACTCGGCCAATGATAGCATATCCGGCGTGAGAAGGACAGACGGCCGATAAACTGTGGTGCAAATCTGTAGCTAATGTATAGCGTGGTACACTGTCGCCTACACACGACACACACTCACGCTCCCCAAGATGGCGCTCAACCTGCGGAGAGAAAGACGATCGAGCGTCTGAACGAGAGTCGGAACGGGTCTGCTATAGCTCTGTGTCAAGCGTCGGACAATGAACGAGTGCCGGACCGATCTACTTGTTTTCCACGTTGGCTCGACTTATCGATAATTGTAAGGATCGCACAGTGCGTTCGGTGCGGAAAAACGGAAAATGTGCTCTCACAGACAGAGGATCGTTTGGTTAGAGTCGAAAATAAGTACGTGCTAGTACTGATTTCTCGGTTATGTCAGTGTGTTAAGTCAAAATGGCAGCCACGTTAACTGTCGAGCAAGAGCAGGTAAGCGATTATCAATCGTATCTCATTCAGTCTACAAAAATTCCAAAGTCATTTTTCTTCATCTTGCAAACGTCGCGATACCATCGCTCGTGCTTATATTTTTTCTTTTTTTAGATTAACTCTATGTATCGTAATCCTGTTTACAAGCGCGTAATACAAACATCGCCAGCTCTCTTTTTTGCCGAGCCTTCAAATTTTTTCAGCGAATTTCAAACGGAAACCGCGAGGAAAGAAATTGTTTGATATTCGATAAAGCAGAACGAATGCCTGTAAATGATTCAGAGGACGAATTGTTTTGTTTGACCGTGTATGTGTTAAACGAGCGCGATGTGCAGATTCGCGTGTGCACATCAAGCTTTAATCATCAATGTTTGTGCAACTAGATACTGTCATCGCGAGAATAACATTTGATTCCTTTGTTGACGGTAGCTACTAACGATAACTGGTGCGACATTTTATACTCTTCGGTTAATTATAGATGTTCCTATGAATTTTTGTTTAAAAAACGACTATTATAATTTATATTTTGCATTAAATAACACGCGATTAATAGGGAAAAAACTTTTTATCAGTTTGAAAGAAAGGCCGACATAAAAGAGAGAATAGGCTTTCATTTAGTCTGAAAGCGGAAATGAAAAATGCAACGAAATCGATCCCCGGCGGTAGTCGTGTACTACGTTTTCCACGAACGCCGGGTGTAGCGTTGAAAACGAAGTAAACTCGAAACTGACGTTTAGTGGGTATTTTGTAAAAGTATCGATTCGCGATATTAAATTTCTTGACCCTGGAACGAACTTATCCATTTACCGTACCGGTCCCCGGCGAGCGTACTATGGCGGAAGTTGACGGTGGGGAGGCAGTCGGGCACCGGAAGTTATATCGGTACTCAGGGCATGTACAGAAATCATTGACGAATGACTCTTACACGTTTCGATGGTGTATAGAAATTGTGAATCGATGTGAGACCGTACGATTCTATTACCTAATTATCACCCATTTAATTATGTTTCCGTTTATTGTGCGAAGGAAATTTTTGTTTGAAGTATGAGAAGAAAAAGTGTAATTGAATTCTTTTCAGGCCACGAAAGAGTTCATAGAAGCAGTTAATAAATGTCGGGCTGGGAGGAGAGCCGGTCCAGTGTCATGGAGCACTGCCGTGAAATTTCTGACAGCGAGAAAATTTGAAGTCGCGAGAGCATTGGCTCTGTACGAACAGCACGAAGCCACGAGAAGAAGAGAAGGTCTTGCACTTTTGTATCCTACTCAGGAACCATTGCTCAGTGAATTACGCACAGGAAAATTTACAGTTTTAGTAAGTGCTTAATAAGTGAGTTAACGCTGGAGTCCAATGAACCTATTCCATCAAGTGTATACTTAAACGAGACGTTCGTAAAAAATGTTGCAGCCTTCGCGGGATGCTACAGGGGCAGCCATAGCTATTTTTACAGCACATTTACACCTTCCACAAAACACCACGCACCAGACAACTTTACAAGTGAGTATTTCCATAAACTCATCGTTGCACCGTATGATTCATGTATGTACAGTACACCGTGGAGCATAATGCAATCCAATAGTACATAACGAGAGATGATGTAACAATTGTCTAATGGCTTCTTTGTGGCAAATCTCCGGTAAATCGAACTTTCTCTGTCTCGTTACAGGGTGTCGTGTATCAGTTGGATGCGGCTCTCGAAAGTGTTGAGACGCAAAAGCATGGTCTGGTTTTTATTTATGACATGTCGGATAGCAAATACCAGAATTTTGACTATGACCTCTCCCAAAAGATTCTCACCCTCCTGAAGGTAAGTTTCACACGCGTGACAAATTTCGCGTACATATTACTTTTCCTCTTTTCTTTTCATTTCTTTACTCCCGTGTGAGAAAAGGAAGCAGTACAAAATTTATAAGACAATCGTTAAATTTAAGACAGCTATTTATAAACACTGTTAACACTTTGAATAAATAAACTGTGTGTGTTACTATAAACAGAAAGTTTATATTGTCGCGACTGAAACAAATTAACCAATTCTCTCGATCTACTCTATTCACCTTTACGTCTGGATTTGACGGTGCGCCGAGGTACAAAGCCGCTTTTACCGACGGATCGTTCCAAATGTAGGCCACTATCGTTACACAGGAAATTTAATCAACATCTTTGCCTTTTATTCTTACCACGAACGAAATCAGACCGCGTAATGCACGCGTGCCGCCTCGTTGTGCGAGCAGATTAGCGGTAGAGAATATTTGAAACGCACGTTGAAGAGTGGATTTTTTTTAACCGGTGGCGAGACGAAGGAGAATTATATAATGCGGAGCAATACATAAAATAATTTCCGAGCGTGTCTGCTAGAGGGGCACATAAAGGGGTGCATCTCAAAGAACGGGGAAGCTTAAGGGGTTGTTAACGCTTGACGAAAACCCACTTGCAATTGCCCAGTGAACCGCGCGTTACGAGCATAGCAAGGGATTTTCAAAGGTTTCGCCGCAGGATGATGACGCAGTTATAGGATATTTATGAAATTATTCTCAACGACATTTTTACGTCATTCGGTGCTTGGGATAAAAATAAGCTTCTGTTTGGTCGGTTGTTTACCAGGAAGCGTAGATAAACCTGAACTTCTATTCTGAAACGGCGTAGACCACGCCATAAAACTAGGGAAATATAATGCTTTCTATTCGTTCGTAATAACGTTCGGATACTCTTTCATTTTCCACTCTCTCAACCTATCTATATTCGCGCAATCGATCGGTCAGCGACCGAAAATTTTCCGATAGAACTTAATCCTCTTCATCGACCATCGATTCGATAAAAATTAAACCTCGTTCGCAGGTTATTTACGCGGTGAAGTTGACGCCGCGCTCCTTTCGGATTCCTGTATAAACTAAAATAAAAATGAAAAACAACCGCAGAGACGAATATAATATTTTGTATGCCTGTTGCCGCGAATTCATGGTTAAAAATACCGAGGACCGGTCTAGTAGTTGAGAGACACTGGCATAATACGTCACCACACGTAGGATCGCGCACCTTTGCCAGGGAAAAAGAAATTCGCGTAAGGGATGTTAGAGCGGTGGTAAAAAGAAGGGGTCGTTGGCGCGCATGCGCGCATACGCGGGATAACGTCGCGACGCTCGCGGTCAGTAATCATCGTGACCCCTTTGCGGCATTATCGTGCACAGATCAGAAGAACTTGAGCTTGATTCCGCTCTTCTCACAATTTTTCGAGTGCGAGATCGTGTTTGCATGTGGTCGAGGTTCTTTGCGAACATGGGATATCGTCGGAATACGCACAATCGAACGTAGCCGCATTACGTTCTCCTGAACGTTACGCACGACCGTTTCTTGTTCGTTGGACGATTCGTGTCAACCGTGGAAAACGGTTATACTAATTTCGCGGTATCGATTAACCGACCGAGTGCCGGCAGTGATTTCGATTTCATCGATTCAAAGAGCAATACGAACACGTTCGAACATGCCCTGGTGATTAAGCGAATCTTAAATCAACCAAGGGCCTTCGATTTATCGTTACATCGACGATTCCTTCGATTACAAAATAATAATCGACGTTATACCGGACCGATTGGTCGTTCGATTAGACGGTTGATCGTCGAACGGAGAGCTCCTGTCATCGATGCACGATAGAGTATTCGCTTACGGTGCATATCTAGGCGACTTACGGTAATTAAAAATTCGAATCTATTGATTGATTGTACTAGTGTGTTCTATCTATCGTATCCACCGAGAAATATACCCTCGTATAATCTCTTAGTTGATCCTGATTTTATCGTTTCCTGGCCATCGTGGTGGAAAAGTGTGATCGGAGATTTCGAAACGTTGCTACAGTGGCCTGGAAACCGTCGACACTTTTTCTTCACGCTTTCGCGGGGTTTCGATGTAATAGGGTTTTGTGCGCTAAGATCGTAAGAATGTAGTGGTGTGCTGCTGACGTCGTTGCCGTTACGGTACTTCCGCCCTCTATACACACAGCATCAGAGGGTTAAGTTACTGTGTTTCCTGCATTTTCTATACGGGCCAATGCGAGAAACATTTTTCCCGCATTAAACACACCGCGTTTCATCGACCCGAAATCTACGATGTTCGTCGACCCCGTGCCAGTACAAATTACTTGTCCCAGTTCGATAGAATTCTGCGCCGTTTAAACGCAACCCACAACTGTAGACTATATAAAAGAGGTTTACCCGTTAAATTGGATCGAAACTCTTTACGCGCTCTACGTTACTCCTACGTAATTTTCCTTTAAAACGAAACCCCTTCGTGCATTAAACATATATTCGAACATTGCTTGCAGTTGGCACTGAACGTGCCTCTTGGGTTTATATACCATTCTATTATTGCATCGTCTTGCAAAGGTCGAATTTGAAAGTCGCTCCGTTTCGAAAATAAACTATATCTGCAGTCATATTAATGTCTCCTTTTTCTTTCTTTATTTCTCTTACTTTTTTAGTTTTTTCGTGCACATGTGTCTCTATATGCGGTCAAAAGCAAGTTTAATGTTTGATGTTCCTTATTTAATAATATTGTCATAACAAGAGTGAACCTCGTAAATAAACTCCTCATTATTTCACAATTTTTCCGGAAAATTAGGAATATGGTTATTGTTTCAGGGCGGTTATCCAGCAAAACTGAAAAAAGTTTTAATAGTGACTGCACCACTGTGGTTCAAGGCACCCTTTAAGATCCTTCGATTATTCGTGCGTGAAAAATTGAGGGACAGAGTATTCACTGTATCCATTCCCCAATTAACGTTACATATCCCACGAGAATCATTACCGCATCGTTTGGGCGGCACATTGGAGGTACAGCATGAAGTATGGCTGCTCCACTGTCTTAAATCCATGACAAACAGGGCCGGGGGTGAACTTTGTGAGGTCAGTTCTCTAATTTACGTTTAAACGAACAAGTGTAGAAAAAGATTAATTATTAACGAGGAATTTGTACATTTGCAGGTTACCCCCAGAGAGGGTACTCCTCTATCGCCCACGTCAAAGAATCACACGGTTCATCAAAATCCCAATGGAACTACAGTTAGTAGCTCGACTAGTCCCATAATCGATAAGAAGCGAGAAGTGAAAAATGGTATCTCGAATATCGGGGATATCGAGATTACGAATGGTGCTGACGTCTGGATTGGAACCGACGAGGCACCATCTCCAGTTCAGCCTCCGTCCTCAGCTAGTTCAGGTTTTAGCGACGACGATAGCCTTCACGGGGATCTTGGCCTTCAAGCCGTCACTATGGAGCAACTCATTGAGGAGATTCATTCGAGAGGACGTGCGGGTCTCATAACAGAGTACACGGAAATTAGGCAAAGACCTCCAGAAGGTTCCTTTAATAACGCAAAGTACGTAATAGAAATGTGTTTCATAAAAAATTACATTGGTAGACCCCCATTTAACGATTATTTCGATTCATTTCTCAGACTAAAATCGAATCAGTCGAAGAACAGGTACACAGACGTACTCTGCTACGATCACAGTAGAGTGTGTCTATCGCAGATAGATGGAGATTCCACGTCGGATTATATAAACGCGAATTTTGTCGATGGTTACAAACAGAAGAATGCGTTTATTAGTACTCAAGGCCCTCTTCCGAAAACGTGTGGGGATTTTTGGAGGATGATTTGGGAACAGCAAACGCTCGTTGTCGTTATGACTACAAGGTGCGTACATACCATTTTACTTTCGTTAGAACATGAGAAGATTGTATGAAGAGGGTTTGGATAATTTTTTATGAACATCATAGAGTGGTGGAAAGAGGACGCACGAAATGTGCACAGTATTGGGGTCCAGAACCGGGTGACGAAGTAAAAGCCGGTGGTTTCACAGTAACCACACTCGAAGTCGATACGAATCCCGATTACACGATATCCATGCTTCTCCTTACAAACAACAAGGTACTATTTATTTGTAAAATGATCGAAAGCTAGGCCACTATACGTTTGCAACCTCCTGATCAATAAACGTAACATTTTTGTTTCTTTTTTTACTCCAGACTGACGAGGCAAGAGAAGTTTGCCACATGCTGTACACAGCTTGGCCAGATTATGGTGTTCCACAATCAGCCAGAGCTTTGTTACAGTTTCTAGCCTTAGTAAGACAACAACAAAATAAGTTACTTGCTAGTAGAGGGGATACGTGGGCAGGACATCCGCGAGGACCACCTATAGTGGTGCATTGCAGTGCCGGAATAGGAAGAACAGGTATGTAGATACCGCGGGTGTTTCAAAGCGGATGAAACTAATGAAAAATATTGATTGTTTTGTAATGGTGTGTTCGTAGGAACGTTTTGCACGTTAGATATTTGCATATCGCGACTCGAAGACACTGGAACGGTAGACATTCGTGGAACTGTAGAGAAAATCCGAGCACAAAGGGCCTACAGTATTCAAATGCCAGATCAGTACGTTTTCTGTCATCGTGCTCTGGCAGAGTATGCACTGTCCAGGGGGATGCTTAGTCCGCAACATCTAGCTATGTTACCTCCAACTATAGAAGAAGATTCTGATTAGAGTCTAACACTCTATTGTCATGTACCAGATTGATGTTCTTCCCGAAGTATGCATAATAGTCTCCTTTACATAGCCTATTTCTAGCTTAAACAACTGAAAGGTATTTTTTGCTATCATCTCCATCGATGTAATATTTCAGATTTCTACTCTTACGTTAGGCTATATATGTATGTATGTATGTATGTATGTATGTATGTATGTATGTATGTATGTATGTATGTATGTATGTATGTATGTATGTATGTATGTATGTATGTAGTATAATTTACTTTCTATTGTTTGTTTAGTTGCACACCCTAACCCACTCTCCCGCTCTCACCCATATACCCCTCCCCCCGTTAACACGTTCGCTGCCCAGCAGTGTGTATGCGCGTGCACACACACTCGCACACGCACACATCTAAATTATTTACATTATATACACTGTGTACCGCTCCCATGACGGTATCTGTTTTTAAGCAGTCTTCCCAGTCCCAACGCTTTTCAAACTCTGGCTACATTATTTTTCCATCTCCTATAACTGATATAAGAGAGACATTGATATCTGATGCTTCTAATGTGAGGGTACAATAACAAGTAACTCAAAACTTTTGATCTTGTCACCTCAACACGGTTCTTATCTTCAATATTCCATGTTGCAGTACCCATTTTTAAAGTCAATCTCATCTTTGACAATGTGTCACTGATAGGCCTCGTAAGCAACCACCATTTTTCTTCTTTAACTCCAATCTTGACACTCTTGTAATTGTGGCTACAAAATTCAACATCTTCAAATTTGTAGCACGGTTCTACGCTCGAAGACGATCCACTCTTGACATTTTTCTATTGCAAAGAAAGGACTTCATCAATATTCCTTTCAATAGTCGTGGCCCATGGTTCAGTGGTCATAATCACTGTGCCATCTCCATCACTCAATTGCACGAACCTGGTCATTTCTATCTCTTTGAAGACTGACGTATCTATTCCGTTTTCTTTTCGTTGCCCTACTTTATATCGTATTCTGTCGATAGTACTGCATACCTGTCTCAGGTCTATGCCAGTACATTCAGATATTGCCATTGCCGTATTTGCAGCCACTAGTACAGTGTTCCCTAGTGACGTGAGTAGTTCTCCACTGCCCCGCTGGCCTGCCCGTAGCCAGACATCTCCATCATCATTTAAGGTGATCGGGCATGCTATCTCTCTGGCACAATTCATTATGGCAGACCTGAACATGGGAGGGTAGAACGTAGAAATGAAGTCGACTTCCACGATTCTCTCTTCTAAACTGACGGTACCATCCCATCCACTATAATTTAAGCACACAGACACTGATTCATGTCCTTTTTCTTCATCCTTATCTAGTTGGAGCCCTACGCTACTATCTTCATTCCAACGTGTTGTTATCTCTTTTTTGTCCTTGCTTGAGTTAGCGTCCCACATGGCTCGTAACTCTGCCGACGTACATAGGCGGGGTTCCGTTGACTGTTCCTTTATAGACTTTGGTCTTACCGGCTTTACGAATCAAATCGCCCATTAGTACGTAGTGGGACAGTCTAGTCTGCGCATCAACAAACTGAATGAATCTGTGCCCTTGCTCTTTGTGCAATTCGAGCTCTTGGGCGTCACCAGCTACCAGTTTGCCATCTTGCACCACTTTCTTTTTCTTTAGTTCGTTTTTGGTACGGCAAGTGAAATACCCTGCTGTTGATTTGTCAGCTCTCCAGTGTTGTATCAAGAATATAGATTTTTCATACCAGTCAGGCGTTTTTTCTATGTACTCTACCATCGTGTGACCGTCGTCCAGGACCCCAGTGCTCCCTTGTCTGTTAATACTTACCAGGACCTCGTCCTTGGTCAACAGTTTACACTTCCCACTTAGGCTCTTGCCATAATCGCTCCTTAGCAGGTGGAGGGCCTCATATATCTTGCTGATAGAGCCCATTGCTAGAGTCCATTGTTCCTGGGCTCACATCCAATCATTTTTCAATGGAAGCTTGCTTCCACTTGTCTGTGGTTTGTGTATAGCAGAAGGTAGAGTTTGAATCATTGATTCCCCAGACTCTACCTTCGAACTCACTTATGAGTCCGTTGCATAAATTCTTCACTGTTAAACTTTCAAGATGCTCCTACTGTGACTTTCGAGTTCGCTTTTGGTATCTCTCCACCACATCTTGCTTGCAACCTGTTCTATCCATGTCTTGGTGCACTGCCCTTGCGATTTATCCACATTAACAGTGGCGACTCTGTTCTGAGTACCAATTCCACACCTCCAAGTGTTAGCTTCAAACCAGACATTTAAGACAGTTTAGTCTCTGATTCAACTCGTGGTCGACTTAAGTGACCAAGGCTAAGTAAGAATCAAGTTTCAAGTTTTCTTTCTCTCTTCTGTGATTGTCCAGCTATTTTCGTGTCTTTCGCATGGGCAGAAGCACATGCTATAAAGTGTGTTACTCTCAACAAGGATCAAGACACTGCATGTACAGTATCCACCAACAGTGGAGAGGTAGGTGCTGTCGTTGACCACATAGTATATGTTCACGCCAGCCCACCACTCTGCGTGAAACCACTGGTCACTGGCCTGTAAACCACTCTGCAAATTGATAGAGCCAAAGAACTTTCCGATTCTTCCAAAAGCGGGATCGCTGTCATCGAAGTCTCTCTCAATGTGTAGTACAACATACTTGAAATTTCTGGCCCTCCTGATGTTCGAATTTGCAGTAGGAGTAGACCCTACCAATCTCCACTTGTTTGCGCAGTAAGACAGTATTTGCATTAGGAGGTGATACTTACTTTATAAACGACATACTGAATCATTAAGAAGCAGACCGCTCTCATAGTGTGCCCATAGCAACCATTAATACATCTGTCATTCATCGTCAGTGAGTTCAACAGGTTTGTCGCTTCATTCTTTAGGGATCAAGCCCCTATCAAATTCATTTTCCTTGACCTTGGAAATCAGTCCTGAAAAAGAAACGGCTCTGTTAACTGTCCCAATCAGAACCGATGTCAATCTCCGGTGCTATTCAAGCTTCACACCATGCAAGTCCCATTTGCAAAGATTATTTGTCTCCACCATTAAGTGATTCGGAGTCATTTCTACGTATGACCCAACAGTGCATTAATTGTGGGATACAAGCAAGCGAGTTTCTCGAAGACAACTGCCAAAACACTGGAATTGGCAGCTTGGTACTTTAGAGCTTTTAGGCCAATTCGCACCGCTATTAGTCCCAATGAAATCACTGTACGTAGTATACCAGTGCTAACATTCATCGCTGCACTCTGCATTACCGAGGTTAAAATAGCGCCTACGCTACCCCACGGTAAGTTGCCATCTTGAAGCCGCGTCATGATCAAATAGACTTGTTTCACTAGAACGAGAGCATTGCCTGAAACACCAAGTAGCACACTCTGACCTCCCAGTACCAGATCCAAAACCAGCAGCCGTTTGTATCGGCGCTTGGGCCGCTATCTGGGAAGCCACAAGCACCTGATTCTTTATTAGATATCCTATACCAAAACCTCCAGCAACACCAAATACCAAATCCCAGGCTCTATCGTTGGAATTGGTAGGTCTCCCATAAATGTCAGAAGTTGGGCTGTTGTCACTACAGAGTCCTTTTACCACAAAACCCACAACTTGGGCAACGCAAGACGCTATAGCCAATGGTGCCGTGCTAAAATAAGCCAAGCATCTTCATTCTTTCTAATTTTGAGAAAGATGCTCCAACCCAGGTAGCCCCCATCCGTGAAGCTAAGTTAGGAAAGGCACCTAGTGGATCCAATCCCTAGGCCTTCCGCCAACACCTGCGCCTTGGCCCTGGTGAGGACCGTAGCCATCATGTGTACGCACTTATGTATATCTGGCGTCCCTCTTGGTAATGTACTTCGTCTAATAAGACAAAGTCGGTGTCAGACTCCACGTCTTTGATATGCCTTAAAGCGGTACCATATGACATGATTATAAGCCGCTTTAACCCGTATCCCAGACAATCCCTAGCGTCCTCGTGCTGCTGCCCTACCATATATTCCACCCGGTACAAACTAGAACCACTATGCTTGACTTGTAATAGCTCGCATATTCTGTTGTACGCAGTACGGAGCCAAGTATACGTCATTCCCGCTCGGGTTATCGTCACAGAATTGCGTACGTAACATGGAAAGAAGATATGAGATTATTAGCATCCCTGAAGCAGCAACCCATATCTAGGGCGGAAGCTATTTCTCCCACCCAGAAATCGCCTTCCTGCACGTCGCAGACCCCAGAGGGACTATCTACTTCTACAGCCACCTGGTCCCTGTTAAAGGGCAATTCCCTGGCTTCTATCGTGGGGATGTCTCTTCAATCTAGCAAAGACTTGAGCGTCCGGTCACTCATGGCTCCGGGCATGAGCTTAGCGGCACCAATCGCCTAGTCTGGGTCTAGCAAAGCACGGTCGACTCCCCCAATCTCAAACAACAACCACTAACGCAACCGTTGTCATCGCAAAACATAACGACTGACGTGTCGACCAGTTCGCAACCACTAAACAACACCGAAGCATCGAATCTACTTTCGGTGGTGAGAAGCTCCAAGTCACCATAATAGGCGATGGACTGGCATCCTTTACGCCATAAAAGATTGTTTACCTTGGCACATGCAAGAGTGGCACTATCGGGGGTGGGGGCACAGATTAATAAGCTATTTCCTAATTCCCTAACGAGTAGATCTTCGTTCTGGTGAAGTTGCACTTTTATAACGTTTTCCCTCATACAACTGGCACTTGTGTTGCAGTGGGTATTTCTTCTGAAACCCATGCGGCGCCAATTTCCGTTTCGATTTTCCTAAACCACTTAGTGGCTCCGCCGACCGCTCTCACTTCCTCAGAAAATTGTGAAGGCGCGCCACGGATCACTGGGCTAACTTTTATCTCAGGTTTTGGACTATTAAAAAATTCAAAATCTGTAGGCTCATAATCTAAGGAACTGTCGACGGTCACACACACACACACACACACACACACACACACACACACACACACACACACACACACACACACACCCGTGTGCATACATGTATGTATATATATATGCATATATTTAGAGAATATCTAAAGAAAGACTAGTGTTTTCAAAGCCAAATGTGCGAATAGAAATTGTTCAAATTTCTGTTCCTTGGTATTTTGCTCTGTGAACAAGAAAAATGAATTCGACGCTAAATAATAACGGTATAACGGTGCCAAGTCACCGCTTCAAAAGAAAAAATAAAATAATGGCTGTCCGATCCTATTTTAACCCTCTCATATGTAAATTTTATTGTACATTCTGAAAGGTGGCTACAGGTGATTTAAAACGTGTAAACTATGGAACGCCTTACTTTATAAACATTCCATTTGAAAACAATTACTATGTCAATTAAATTACTATATAATATATACAAGTGCGAATTATCCTATTTCATAGGTTTAAAGGGTTTTTCTTGTATTCTGTGTTACACGTACGTACGAGGGGTAATGTTACGAGGCTTGAAACGCTACGACCGATGATTACGGTTTTATTAAAGTAATTTATTAGGAATACTCTACTGTACAAGTTAATGATTAAGATTAATATTTCCTTTTGTAACCGTATGCTTAGTTTATCGAGTGTTACCGCGCAATACATGTATATTTTATACCCTAAGCACGATTTATCTGCATTCTCATTCGTTGTAATGATTAGCTTCGCATTTTTCTTTTTTTTTAATTATTCGCAGTTGGATAAAACTTGTACGATTCAATGATTCCGTTTCATTTAGCAACAACACACTAGTTGAACTTTAATTATTTTCACAATGTGTCTTTCATGCTTTGAACGTCAGTCTAAATGTTAAATTGTCAAGTACAAAGTTGTAAGGATATATTGTTATAGAATCTCTATATGAGAGGGTTAAACTGGTAACTGATTTATTGAGAATGAATACCTAAGTATAATTGAAACTTATAAAGATTCAAAGAAATATCAATGTTACGGGAAAAAATCGCAAACTGTGGGAAAAAATAATTTTAAGTGGCCAATGAATAGTCACAGATATCTAAGATTTAAAAACCCACAAATATATTGTAAACGTGTTACAACACGTGGCTTCCGCCATACAGAAACTATAAGTAATCGACGACCGTATTAAATAGGCATTTTTGGGTAACCAAAGATTATCTCCTACACCATCTCAGAACATCGTAATTGAATCATGCATAACAAAATAATTGGCTGATATTTCACCAAGAAATTCCTTTACAGGGATTGCTAATCAGGGATCACCGCATAGATTAAAAATACTTCCAATTCGATTAAATACTATTAAGAAAATTAGAAGGATCATAATACGAGGTTAACGTTTAAAAAGAAAAGGAGGGGCAAATGAACTAGTTTACCTCGAAGAATCAAACGTGCTTCGTTCTAGCGAAATTAGAATTTTTTTAACAAATCT